GTCTCCATGAAGATGAGGCCGTGCTCGCGCGCGAACGCCTCGCCCTCCTCGCGCTTCACGTCTCTCCGCGACTCCAGGTCGCTGGCGGAACACAGGGCAGAGGTCAGTCACGGGTCACAGTGACAGGTCACACACAGGTCAGGCCAGGGGCAGCCACGGGTCATGGGTTACGCCATGGAGAGAGATCACAGGTCACCGATGGGACACGCACAGGTGAGCATCTTCTGTAGAGCGCCGGGTCAACAGCGCTGCTTAGATCTGTACAACAAACATCACATAAAAACAACAATTGTAAACGTGCCAACAGAGGCCATTGACCTTCGATATAATGGTGGGGTACTCCGCAGGCAAGAAACAGCAACGTAAAATATTCTCCAATTTCAATACAGACACTTCGCAAGCTTGCAAAATAAGATGTAGCGTACTGGAATATATATCGTCTACAGAGACCACCGTCAAAGATAAAAAGTACGAGGAACCCCCTAATTAGCTTTGGCGAAATCCCTCCACCGCCATCTCTCCGTGTCCTGTCCCTCCCCTCCCTCCAAGCCCGCCGGCCGCGGTCGGCGCACACACATGACACACCTCTTGTTGCCGATGAGCATGATGACCATGTTGGAGTTGGAGTGCTGCCGCGCGTCCTCCAGCCACGTGGTGAGGTGGTTGAACGTGTCGCGCCTAGTGATGTCGTACACGAGCAGCGCGCCGGCCGCGCCGCGGTGTAGGAGCGCGTGATGGACCGGAACGCCTCCTGACCCGCCTGCGGGCCACGGGGGAGGGGTCACCGGCCGGCCGACGGACGGGTGGGGGGGGGGGGGGCGATGAGATGGCGCATGTGTGTAATGTGAGCGATTGCATGGGAAGGTCATTCCAGCCAAACAGGAAAAAAGTGGATGATGATCGACTGGATGTATAGAAAAGAAGATTGTCAACTGAATATAGCAGACAGAAGTCGGGAAGTAATTTTCTTCAAACGGAATCAGCTCAGCATGGGAATATGCGATATAAGGGCGAAAAAAAAACAGCAGGCATATGTCAATCCGGAACTCCAACGTGTTCACGCTTGCCAAAACAGAAAAGCCACTAACTAGCTGGCTATTACAGTAGTTAGTCAATAGTTCTGCCCGTTATAACCGGACATCCCGGCCCATATGGATCAATAGGCAGCCCGTATCCGGTGCCGAGCCCTTACCGTGTCCCAGATCTGCAGTTTGACTTGTTTGCCATCGATGGTAATCATGCGGGCGCCGAACTCCACGCCTGCGACACACAGAGAGGCGGTCAGCGGTGTGGAACGGAAAGGAACGTGGATGGTTGGATGGTGAGACCAGCTTCCACGCCTTGGATTAAGTCACATGGACAGCGCGTCGATATCATGGTTGTTGGAGTTTTGGGGCTGTCAATTCAGCTCATTATGATGCAGCTGGCTACCAAGTGCCCTTGTAGAGATATTACATTTGCTGAGTTGTGATTCAACAAATTGAAATGAGTGACCAATGACTATTGGTCCATTGGTCAAGGTAAACATTAGCAGCAGCAGACGCTTACCAATGGTCAGGTCGTGTACAGGCTGAAATCTTTTGTCTGTGAACTGCAATAGGAGGCAGGATTTGCCCACACCTGTGAAACAGAAACAGTAGTGAATGAAAGAGCAGTCAAAATTAGCAGTCAGCTCAAATGACTGTTTCAGCAGTCATTTCAAATGACTGCTTCAGCAGTGATTTCAGCAGTCAATCAAAAATAAGTTTTATTCACTTCCTTACTAAAACTTGACATATTTTTCCCCAAGTCTTAATTGCTTTTACTAACATACTAGTACAAGATGATAACACCTTGATCTAGGGTAGTCTTCAGTATTGAAACTTGTAGCTCTTTTCCAATAGTATGTACACCTTCTTCATCTTTTACTAAATACCAAATGGGGATCATTGAAAAGTTTACACTAAGGTGACTAATTTTAACCCGCGCCCTGGTGTGGGTCTGAGCCACCTTCGCCCTGGTGGGGGGGGGCCAAAATGACCCCCCCCCGTCTAACTCGAAAACGAAGAGGGCTAGGAAGACGCGGAAAAAAGCAAACGAAAGCCCATAACAAGTACGTTCGAAAGTATTTCGGTCATTTTTTCGCTAAGGTCAATATTGAGGTCGCTAGAGGTCATCATAGGTCAAATTTCAGTGTTTTCGGTGTTGCCGGACATATTCCGCTGTAGCTCGGAAACTAGAAGAGCTAGAGAGCCGCGGAAAAAAGCAATCGATAGCTCTTTTCAAGCTCTTTCGCCAAAGTTCGTCAGATTTGACCTCAGCTCAACGGTTTGGCCTACAGAGGTCATGCAAGGTCAACTTGGCAAATTTCGTTGAAAATTTTTTAACTATAGCATGCATTCACGAGAAAATAGAGAAACGATTCATGCACCATCGTGCTTGGCTCGTCGAGACGCGTCGAATGATATATAGTTTGACCTCGAAAGGTCATTTTGAAAATTTGACCTCAGGTCAAGGTCATGACCTTACCGAAATAGGTCATGCTGCATATCATTCGATCCGCATTGACGAGACAAACACGATAAACGTCGAACGGAGTCTCTATCTCTATTCAATAACAAGTAAGTGCAGAAAAACCGCTGGTGACCTCTGGTGACCAGGGAGATGACCTAGCGTGACCTCAGCGAGGTCACAAGCAAATGGTTTCACATGGGCTGTGATTTGCTGACCCAAGACACTTCAATAACGAAATATAGGAACAATCACGCCCGATTTAGCTGAAAAACAACTACTTTTCGATTCTCCCATTGACTTATAATGGGGAGCAGCGATGACCTGACCTGACCTTAGGTCACATTTATAAAAAATCCGAGATAGCCATTTTGTAGAGCTGGGTGACATCTTCAAGTACTGTAAATTTTACATCAATCGGATAAAAGCTGTGCCTTTGAGAGAGCTTTGAACTTTTTTAGAGGTGGTGTCAGTTTTGGTGACCTTGTGACCTGACCTGACCTGACCCGAACCCCCCAAAAAAGGACATGATGTAAAAATGTTGAATAAACAGCTATACAAAGTTTCAGGGCGCTAACTCAAGTGGTTTCTGAGTTATCGCTGAAAAACCACAGGGGGGGGGCCAAAATGGCCCCCCCCCCCACCAGGGCGAAGGTTAATTGGTAATTGACATTAATTACTTAGGAAATTATTTTGTAATGATTTGCAGAAATTTGCAACACAGGTCGCTGCATGGGGGGGGGGGGGTACAAATGCAATCCATTGTGATGTAAAACAAAACAAATTATGGAAAAATACATCAATAGTTTTTGTGAGATTTAAGAGCCCTCAACGCAAAGAGGGTATAGATAGCTTCTATTGTAGGTATAGGCATTGTACATTCATTAGGGACCTACAGACATAAATATTCAATAGCACCATGTGATTTTTTTTTTAAATAGCACCTGTTGGTTGCAAATTATGTACAAATTGTTAAATTATTAGACATATATGTAACTATGGTCAGAGTACTGGAGGCAGTAAATACCAGCCAAAACAAACAAAAACACCCTACCAGTGTAGGACACCTAGGTACCTACAACCTTGAACCGCTGAGCTAATGACGCAACCAGAACACATTGTTTTAGGGATAAATTACACCTTGATGCTTATAGCAGCCAAATCATTGAGAAAATGGGTGCAATATGAACAAGAGCCACTTGTAAATGGGGACACCACCCTTCCGAGACTACGTTATAACTCAATGCTGAATCCATGCAAAAGAAAATGACCAATTCTCATCCATTGTGTTAACTAGGAATATTGCATTTTAAGTAAGTTGGATTCAGTAGACAGCCCCTCATGATGAAAACAGAGCACCATATGCAACAAATGGCCATTGGCATCCACGGACCAGTAGACATAAGCGGCGCATTCACGAACAAAACGATTAACTCTTACCTGTGTCGCCTATGATAATATACTTGAAAAGATATGCATAAGACATTCTTGGTTCTTTGTTTCACACCTTCCCTGAATTCAAACCTCAATAACTGCGAGGATTCTCACAAAGAAAAAATAGGGAATGGCGCAGCAGCAGAGACTACGCAGCAAACGTCTCCGTGATACATCAACACAAAGCCTGAAACAGCTGATTGGCCCTGATGGAGGCTTCGAGATGAGGCTGCTATTTCAAAATTCGCCGATTCATTCCAAGTGTCACCTTGTTTTTCCCCGATCATTGTGAAAAATATGTCGTTTTAGTGACTAAGTAGACTAAGAGGATACAGAAAAAGACTTAAGCGTAATTTCTTGCCGATGTCTTTTGATTGCTTTTCGAAAAGACGGCAAGCAGGTACCTACAACTTGGCAACTGAAACGCGGAACCTACATAGAGTAGCATTTTCGAGGTTGATCAGGTAGATCACTGCCGTTGCCGAGCATCCGACAGGACAACATACAGCCAGCACATGAATGGATTATTTGTCATGACTTACACTGCTGTGGTGGTGAGGATGACAGATTGTATCATATGATATGGGGGTCAGTTCACCTCGCTATGGGTGCATCAAATAACGGCCCGATGCTAGTCTGGGAATCCGAAGTTGTTTTAAGAAAATATCATCAAAGACACTGTCGATATGGCGGGTTATATTTACACAAACACACTTTGCATAGAGCATTACGGCGCACATAAATATATGATCTGCAATATACACAAACAATGAAGGACCCATCTTCCCGACGGCCGGTACACACTTGGCAGCACGAGACATGGCAGAGAGCGACTCGGACCGGTCCGCTGCGAAAAACGACCGGCGCCCGCCGCACAGCAGCACAATTTCTCAGAGTGCCACACTCCGCCTACAGCGACCCACAAGGCGTTCATAAATCGAAAGCTCCAGAACCTTCCACTGTTCAGTTTCTTTCACCGCATTACAACCAATCCAAGAATTAAGAAACATTCCATCACAGATGATTTTCCCGTTCGAAATCCTGCAGTTTTTCACGTGCGAAGTCCGACCAGGCGCTGCGGGCTGGTGCGGCGGCTGAGTTTCGGCTGTCGTTAGTCGCTGGCCGGCTAGCAGTCCTCGAGTCGCGGCAGTTCGGGCTCGCGCAGCAGGTCGGCGCAGTGCGGCGAGGAGCGGCGCACGAACAGCGTCACGCCCGAGCGGTACCAGGCCGGGATGGTGACGTGCGCGGCCAGCGCGCGCCGCACGCCCGGCGGCGGCGGGTCGGACGCCTCGCGGAGCACGTTCACCACCTGGCCTGCCGGACACCGGAGCGGGCACACGGACGGTCAGACGAGGTGGCCGCGAGGGGCGGGGAGATGGACACGTCAGCAACATACTATGACCAAGATGCTTGGGTTTTTAGGTCTCCCGAAGTGCCCAAGGTCATCGACACCCAGGACCAGCAAGAATATATCGGGATAAGAGAGAAGGTTGAACAGAGGATGACGCAACTGGCTGGGGAAACACTACAAGAACCCGAAGCCCGCTACTCCCACGCTCCGTACCTAGCACGTTCATGTTGCTCCAGCGCGGGTCCTCGGCCGTCATGAGCGGCTGTAGCGAGCAGCCGTGCCGCCATCGAGCGGTGACGTCCTCACTGCGGACCAGCAGCACCGAGTCGCTCGAGAGCTGCTCACCGAGCAGGGAGGCCGACACGCACTCCAGCGGGTTGGTCAGGTACACTCCCTGGAGAGAGGCAGGGGGGTCAGAGGTCAGGTACACACCCTGGAAAGGGGGGGGGGGGTCAGAGGTCAGGTACACACCCTGGTGGAGAGGCGGGGGTCAGGTACACACAGATTCAGATGCTCACCCACACAGTTGCCCAGGGAGAGAAAAGACGTGTGTACACCGAGAACGACAGAAGGATCTTACACGGGTTATACATAAATCCTAAAAACATAGATCAAAAGGATGTAAAAGTGAACGGTTGCAGATATCCAATGTGATGCGTGGTTAGGAAGACGTCAAAACTAAAAAAGCAATGTGATTAAGAATACAGTAAAGATCAAATAGATTAGGAGCCTGAGTAAATAGTTGAACGCTATTTCTACGCGCGCTCGAGACATCTCAAGCCACACCCAGGCCGACTGGTGTCACGGGCAGCCGACCCTGCCCCGTTCCGGCACGATACCGCCTGTTCTCCTAGTCAGAGCCATAAACCTCCCAGCCGCCCCCCCCCCCCCGTCACGGTGAGGGGAGGGAGGGGCGCCCGTGCCGCACACCAATCGGCAGTACGGAGCACCGCGGCCCGCGCCCTCCGACTGGCGTCGATAGGGGATACGCACAGGTGCGCGGCAATCTACCGCACACGCCGTGAGGGCGATAAGTGGGCGGGAAAAGCACATATCGAGCTACCTACCCCAGACAGAATTGTGAATGGTACAGAGAACGCTCAGATCACGCTCAGAATGGATGAACATGGGGGAAGGACCATTTTTTATTTCTATAGATAGAAAGAATCATGTTGTGTATGCCAACACAAAGGTACATTAATTTACGGACACGATAATTTCCTCACTGTCCCTCACGTCCAAGCAGAGGTCAACATTCCACAATTACTACAGTACGTAGATGATATTGAACCTGGGTTCTACCTGGGACGTTCGTGTTTCACCGATCTTGGCGAGATCGGTGAAGACTCCCCCTATCCAACTGGCTTGAGGATCAACTTCTCTGTTTGTTCATTAGGGTTTACGGCGCGGAGGATCAACTTCTCGTCGTTCCAAACAACCTGAGGCCGACACCCGGCGTCCCCCAGCGTTAGCGACTGACCTAGGGTTGCATCTCTACTGACTTGTACTGACATGGAGTCCGACTGCCCGACTGACCCAGGATCATCTCCCCAGCGCCCCCAACTGACCTGCGGCCCGACTCCGAAGGCCATCTGGTGATGCCAGGCGTCTGGCACGGTCTGTTGCGGCGGCACGCCCCGCTGGAGGTTCAGCGTGGCCACCGGCACGGCGCCCCGGCGCAGCCAGCCGGCCAGCCAGCGCACCAGCTGGAAACTGCGCCGCGGGTACATGCAGAAAAACCGGCCGCACACCTGGAGACAGGGCGGGGGGAAGGGGGAGGGGGTCAGGGAAGTGTAGAGAATAAAGTGATGATAATGATGACGCTTATTGATTAAAATAGTGTCTGAAAACTTGGTGAAAAAAAAAACTATTTGACGTTCAATGCTAACGCCACGGCTATTTCACACTGAAGCTACGCCAGCCCAAGGGAAAAGCGGACATAAATAGGCGTATAATTAACTCAATCGCTCTTCTTAGCTTGTCGCTGCTCATATCATATTAGCCATGTCTCCATGTCCATGTCTGCCATCCATGTCTGCCCCGGGTCTCCCTGTGCCACTACCCGCCCCGTCCCATCCCTGCCCGGGTCTCCCTGTCGCTGTCCGGGTCCACGGCACAGACGCCAGGTGTGCCACGGGAGGGGGGAGGGGGGGGGCAGCTGTGTCAAACAGGACCCCGACCGACCGAGGAGTGTCGTACACACACCTGCCCAGACAGGCCGACACCGGGACGGCCATGTGTGGCCTGTCAGAGCCGCGTGCGGCCGGGACGTGTACAGACTTTATCACGCAGGTCTGCAACCGCTGCTACACGGAAAGAACACCTGTGCTCCCACACGTGCACGAGATGCAAGGGAATTTGCTAATTATAGTTTCTAAGAAGCAAACCGAAACGGGAAGAAGTCTTGTCTTATCTTGGTTCGTTAGGATTAGCATATGATACCACTGTGAAATACCACACCGAACAGCTTCGGTTCCTAAACAAAACAAAGGGCACAACGGAACTGACGGCATTATCCTGGGTTCGTACGAACCTCTGCAGTGACTCGGCTACCAAATACCTCAGTCCTACATACACTAATCCCCGGAAGCGCGATTTGCGGAGCTCCGGAGCCCGACCGATCAAAGTCCGTCCCACGTCAGGCCGAGCACGATACCGCTGATCCAACACCAAACAGACCGCCTTCCCGGTACTGGGAGCGTCTCGGCCCGATCCAGGAACGGAGCACGACACAGCGGGTGATCGAACTGCTGCGACTGTGCGACTGTTACTAGTCAGTCAGTCCCAGAGGAGGTCATCTGATCAGTCAATGCTTCGGAAACTCTGGATGACTGAGTCATTACATATATCGGGTAGCAGGTTCATACCCCCCTTACACACGTCACGGCTAACCCCCCCCCCCCTACCAACCCACACACACATGGCGTGTCGGAGGGATCCCAGTGCTACACAGCGGCCCGTGTACAGACGCGCGCGTCATCTAGTGAGAAGGGATGTAATTCAGGCTTCCTGAAGGTGCCGTATTCCTGGTAAGTGCGGGTCGAGGACTTCTACCGACAGCCTCTTAACATCCAAACGTCAGTTAGACGCCGCCGGATCAGGGAGCTTCAAGTTCAAGTAATCTACAGCGGTCGGCTACACCACAGGACAACACAATTTCTTGCTCTTCTGTCCTGGCTTTGTTGAGCCCTGATCCATCTCGACCTTACACTCGCTCCTGCCTTTCCCTCGCCTGTTGTTCTCTTACACCGCTAACCCTCCCTCTCCCAGCCTCTCACCTCGCCGCCACTGAGCGTCTCGACGCCCTCGATGAGCTGCGTGTGTGTACAGCCGGCCTCGGACCGGGAGAACAGGTAGTCGGCCAGCGGCGCGGACTCGCGGCGCAGCCGGGTGCTGACGGCCGCCGCTGCTGCCGCCGGTCCGGCTGGTAGCCGAGCGCCAGCTGAAGAATGGCCACAGAGGGAGGGTTAGCGGTCGACGGGGCGGACACGGGAGGATGGACAGATTGGGGACAGCGTGGTAATCGATGGTCAAAATACGCTAATGGTTCTGAGGTGTTGTTTCTTAGGTAATTAGTGTTTGCTTACTTTATGTTTTTCGCGTCCACACCATCCTTCATAACACAATAACTTATTAGAACTTAACCACCATACTGACACTACAAAGGTGATATATGTGGCTGTAATCGAATATCAAGCTCGTCACATGAACGTAACAATAAGAACAGCGGTCATTTCCACGGAAGATCCATGTGCTACCACTAAAATCGGTCGGCACCACCGGGAACGACACGGAAGGACAGACGGTCGTCCGTCCCAGATAATTGCCCGAGTGTTATAGCCGGACCGATCGAAACGCCGCCATAACCGCGAGGTAAATTCTGCAGCGTGACACTGACGGTGGCCGGCTGTGGCGTACAAAATGCAGGACTGGAGTCGGTGGTGGCGGCTGCTCCCATTTGGCCGGGTGCCAGCTCGGGGCGCGGGACCTCTCGCCGGGCCCCAGACGGGGCGGTGGGGGCGCTGGACGGTCCCGTCACTTACCAACACGTTGATGACGGCAGTGGCGCCGCAGGCGGACCGGGCGATCTGCGTCACCTGCCGCGTGAAGGCCTCCATTTCGGTCCAGATCATCACCTTCTCAGAGAGATCACAGCCATTCTAGCGGAGAGGGGACAGGGCACACTGTCAGACATGGTCAGAGATCACAGCCATTCTGACGGACAGGGGACAGATCAAACTGTCAGATCATCACCTTCTCAGAGAGATCACAGCCATTCTGACGGATAGGGGACAGATCAAACTGTCAGATCAGATCATCACATTCTCAGAGAGATCACAGCCATTCTGATAGAGGTGTAGATACCAGGGTACCAGGAGATAGAGGTACCAGGCCAGATTATTGCTCCAGAGTCCACAATTAAATTAGGAAGGAAACATGACAACCAACAGTCACAGCAGATATCACCTTCCAGAGGGCTGGATTCAAGCAAAATTGTCACGGACTGTAAGGCAGTGGACTGCAGACACGTCAATAATTTACAAAAAAAAAATCATCCAGCAAAAGCGATGCACGAAAGAGGCGGACAAGGCCATATGGCTCGATGTCAAGACTTTTCACACGATGCAGAGCCACGAAAGCACGATATAAGGATATGACATAGAAATAGCTGCAAACCACGATAACACAATGGGCCCTTTCTCAGGAACAGTGATCATTACCAAGCTAGTTCGACATGCAACGGAAACCATTCATTTCTACGATCGTAACAACAAATGTGTAGCCTGGAAGCACAAACACTCGTCATGTCTCCCACCAAGACCTGTCAGTCACACAAGAGCATTTGAAGTCAATGCATTCCTCTCAGCAGCTCTCAAGCAGTGAGCGCATCTCTCACCTCAAACAGTCCCGAGTCGGCAGCGTTGGCGGCGCCTTTGCGCGCCATGAAGGCCTTTTCTGGCGCGCCGTGACAGCCGTCGTGCTGCAGGTTGGGGTCGCCGGCGCCCCCCGCCGGGGATGTTGAACACCGAGTTCTCTCGGCGCCGGAGTCGATCGTGACAGCCGCCCGGCTGGCGTCGCTCAGGTCGTTGCTGCAGCAGTGCCGGTACTTGTCCGAGCCGCCGTCCACGGCACTGTGCTCGCTGCGACTGTGAGGGAGTCGCGGGGACAGTCGGCAGCCGCCGGAGGGGCCGCCGGGGCGCTGCTCGAGCTGAGGTTGTAGCGCACCAGGCGCCGGTTGGTGACTTTGTGCTCGGCGGGCCGGCGGCCAGGCCGCGCCTCGGCCGCGTTGCTATCCGGGCTGCCGGTGTCACTGTACCGCAGGTTGTCGTCCGAGTTGGATCCGGCCGCCGACAGCCGGTTGAATTTGACGTTCTCGGCGGGCGCCGCGGCCGCCGTCGCGCCCGGCGAGCTCGCTCGGGAGCTGGGCGGCGAGGGGGACGGCGTGCGCGACCCGGAGCTCTGGGAAGACCGGCTGCTACCCGCCGGAGAGGCGGCGGAGACGGCGACGGAGACGACGGCACCTCCCAGCGGCCTCGTCGGCGACCAGCGGGCGGCGGGGGAGGGTGCTGCGGCGGGGGCGGCGGCGGGGACGGCGACTCGAGCGGCGGCGGCCCGTTGGCCAGGGGCGGCGGCGAGCTGCCCTCCTCCGCCGTCCAGCCGGCCGCCGCCGGCACCTCCAGCTCATCCTCGCTCGTATCGAACGCACTAGGGTCAAAGTCCATCTCGAGAAAGTCCAGGTCGGGCGAGACGCGCCCGCCGGCCGGCGGCGGCGGCGGCGCCGGCGGCCGGTGGTGGTTGCGGTTCACGTCTGCCGGCCGGTCGCCCTTGTACGTGTACACACACTCGTCAAGCGCGCAGTCGGACTCGCTGGCGCTGTGACTGAGCAGCAGGCGCGGGTCGGGACGGCCGTTGACGCGCCGCGCCGCGGCCGGCGACGGCGGCTCGTCGTCGCTCTCCTCGGTGGGCGGAGGCGGCCGCGGCCTGGAGGGCTGCTTGGGCCGCGCGCCGCCGCCGCCGCCCGCGGGGGATGGGTCGGACGGCCGCCGACGGCGCCGTTGACGCGCCCGTTCTGCTCGCCACTGCCGCCACCCTGGTTGACGTCATCCTCCATCAGCCAACCTGAAATGGAACATGACAATTTCTTTTCATTTGCACTTGAAGTTTACTCATGGGAGATAATTATCTCAAAATTGTTTTGCATTACATTGCTTTGTTTCACATTTTTCACTCATTTCTAATGCAAATACTACAAGATATCTTTGTCCCAAATGCTCCTGTCACACCAATCATTGTATTAGCATCTCAACTAAGAGTAGCAAGAGCATGGATGAGTAATGAAACAGATTCATTCAATAACCAAATATTTGAAACTGTGACTTAACACAAGTCCCCACATTAATCCTATGCTAAGAAAAAGACTGAACACAATAAATCAGAATCAAAAGTGGAGCTCAAACTGAGCCCTGAGGCTAAACTAAAATTGCAATTATATTGAAAGCCCAGCCTGGCATTGATAATTGACCTCTGTCCTCTATCATGTCTCAAAGATTCGTTCTCATTCTTATTTGCTGAGGTTTAAGGAGCGCTAAGGGGCTGCCAAAATGAAAACAAGGAAACAACGCATAACTACTCAATTGAATTTGAATTAGAGCTCATGATCAATTTTAAGTTTACCTTTTTGAATTAATATCAAATCAACTTATTTGATGCACAAACCAATGCTCTAATAAATTACACTTGAATTCAATAAATTCTGTATAATTTTCCCAGGCATATTTTACATTTCTAATTATTTCTTTTTGGTTTGTTTCACCATTCCAGTTGGGGGAGGTTTGGTCAATGGTTGTCATTTTTAGCACATGCCATTTTTGGCAACCATGTGCTAAAAATGACAACGCTATCAGCTATTTTTAGCAACGATGAAGCCGATTTCACTCCTCAGCGAGGAAATCACGATTTTGGAAATACAAGCACTGATTTTGGAAAAGAAGTGCTGCCACCTGGTGCAAGAAGAAGAAACCAGCTTTAATATGGCCGTTGTTTGTATGGTAGTCCAACGTTGAAGTATACCCTTTTTTGTGGCCCGAAGTTGGAACTTTAAATTGAAGCATCCGAAAATGATCGATATTGATCGAAATCATGATGTTGATGAAAAAAATAATATGTTAAGTTGAGAGAGGAGGCCATTTTATCCAGATGCGGTGGTTTACTTCTTGAAATTATTTTTGCTTACGACGACTGCCATGTAATGAGGGATAATTAGCAGCCGTCATTAGCAAAAATAATTTCAAGAAGTAAACTACTGCATCTGGATAAAATGGCCTCCTCTCTCAACTTAAAATATTATTTTTTCATCAACATCATGTTTTCGATCAATATCGATCATTTTCGGATGCTTCAATTTTAAGTTCCAACTTCAGGCCACAAAACAAACTACCATACAAATAACAGGCATATAAAGCTGGATTCTTCGTCTTGCACCAGGTGGCAGCACTTCTTTTCCAAAATCAGTGTTTATCTTTCCAAAATCTTCATTTCCTCGCTGAGGAGTGAAATCGGCCTCATCGTTGTCAAAAATAGCAGAATCGTTGTCATTTTTAGCACGTGTGAAAAAATAGCACGTGCTAAAAATGACAACGATTGACCAAACCTCCCCCGACTGATTCTCATTCTACGAGCTGGCATTGGCGTTCTGTGCTACACCTCAAACTATGTAAAGTAAAATGTTTTAGTTATGAGGTTACATAGCTTCAGTATGAGCCTTCAATTTTTATTCATGTGTTTTATTGTTTGGCCTCCAATTGTATTTCTAAGTAAGGCTAAGCTCTGAATAAATCTCAATCCTGATCCTGATGCTTGAAAACACAACACCATCACCCACCTCACTGCATCCTTTGAGAAATCAAAATCACAGTTCCTAGGGCACAAAAACAAACAAATTTTACAGAAGCATACGAAAATAGACACAGAAAATTTGTTTTTATTCTTGCTTTTATTATAGAAAACAAATATATTCATGAGTGTTTCCCTCACAAGGCGCACATTAGCCCCGCGTTCGATGTCTCTCGGACGGCGAAGATTCTACGCCGTCCGGCCAATCACGTTTCATAACCGCAGCCGAGCCCCCGCTGACCTTGGACGGGATTGGCTGGACGGCAAAGAATTTTTGTCGTCCGGGAGACATCGAACGCTGCCTAGAATTCTGGCGCGGTTTGCGCGCCGTTTTGCACACTATGGAAGATGGACGCCGCAGCATATATTTGTGGGCCCTAACTGTGTTATCAGCTCTCACGACCAAATGTGAACGGCGGAAGCCTGAAGCTCAGGTTCTGCGACACCTGAGCGAGCGTCATTTCAGCGAACGACATTTGAGCGAAGCCTTTTCAGCGATTATCAATTTAAGCGATTGACTTTTTCAGCAATTGTCAAGTCGGCGAATTCAATCACAGCGATTATCAACTTAAGCGAGGACCAGAATCAGCGAAACCAGATTGAGCGAATATATGGAGGTCGATGGGGGACCAATTGAGCGAACACAGTTACAGCGAAACCGAACGCGACGGAAGTCAATCATTTGCTACTTTTCGGGAATTCTTGCCCTTGGAATACCCGCTTGGGATGTGTCATGCTTCAAGCTGCGCGCGGCAAATTAAAAAATTGCTTTAAGCTTGGAAACCACAAAAATATCTGGCCTCATTCTGCAACTTTGCTCTGGAAATGTGGAACGTGAGATATAGGGCGATGGAAGGAATGCCAAGGACCAATAATAAACTCGAGGGATGGCACAGGGGGATCCAGTCTATGTTTCAGGGACCTCACTAAAATATTTGGAAATTCGTACGTTGGGGCAAGAACAAATTTTACAACATGGGGAACTGATCCAAATTCAAGCGGGGGAATTTCGCGAAAAACAGCACAAGCAATATGAATCTCTGAACAAACGTTTGGTCATCATTATTGGCAAACAGCAGGTGGTGAAATCGAACCACTGGATTTTTTTTTTAGAAATGTGGCATTAAATTTGGAGCTTAATGTCTGAACTTTGAACGTGACATCCGCCATCCAGTTCCGGATAACCATGAAAAATTCCGGAAACATGCGTTGTACGATCGCTCGCAAAAGAAAAAAGAAAAAAATACGCCGTTACGGGACGATGAAGTGTTTCGCTCAAATGACAGTCGCTCAAACTGTAGTCGACAAAAAAGATGTCGCTGAAACATAGCTTTCGCTTAAATTGATAATCGCTATATTTGATAATCGCTCAATTTGATATTCGCTAAGTTGCCAGTCGCTGAAAATGGCTCGCTCAAATGACGTTCGCTCAAATGACACTCGGTAAAGTCGCTCGCACCGTGAAGCTCAATCTCGTGATTGAAAGACATTTTAAGAGTTCTGAAATGTAAAACATGAAAAGGAGCAATTATTGGAAACTCTGGTTAAGTCTCTTCTCCCTAGCACCGATCTTCCTCCCACCCATATGGCGATTCTCTTTCTTGCTGCTGGTCCGCCCCAAGATTGGACGGTTTGAAGATTATTCGGTTTGTAATTTATTGATCCTGTGAGTAAGTACTTATGCGGGTTAATATAATATATACACACACGACTTATGCACAGTAGTATCTGGGCACAATGCTATACATCTGCTTCGAAAAGTCGTCTTCCCGACAGTACGACAGCGGGCTCTGACAATTGAGTTGAGCGCTGCCACCGCGCGGTATCCTGGTGCCTATCTCAGCAGCCTCCATACGCCAGCCAGGACAGTCGCCCATGCCCGAAGTTATCCATCGCCGTACACGATGCCGTCGATCCAGTCGATGTAGTGCGACACGCGCGTATAGAGCCCCGGCTTTCCGGGCGCGGCGCAGCCCTCCCCGGCGGCCACGACGCCGACCAGCCGCGGCCCGTCGTCAGTCTCGACGCGCAGCGGTCCGCCCGAGTCGCCCTGGCAGGCGTCGTGGCCGGACTCGCCGCCGCCCGCGCAGCACACCCGTCCGTGATCCCCTGGGGCAGCTGGAGCGTGGTGCGGCCGCCGGTCAGGTTTGTCAGACATTCGGCGGCCGAGACGATCGGCAGCGGCGCCTCCAGCAGCACGTCGCCGACTTTACCGCCTGTCGGAGAGAGGAGAGGGGTAAGACGCTGAGATAAGAGGCTGGGAGGGGCATGAGAATAGCGAATTATTATCGGCAGAGCGTCAAGTACCTGACTGAAATCTGACTAAAAATCAACTCCTCTACATTCAATGAAAAAGACAGCCGCACCAGACACCACGTGTCGTCGACCCGCTGCGCCGCCCATTACGTCCGTCCCGTACCGAACTCCTTTGCGCCGATTCCTGCCACGTGCGCGTCGGTGCCGGGCCGGTCCTGGTGGGGCGCCGCCAGGCAGTAGGGGCGCACAGTGGGTGTGAATGTGACCGGCCGGCCGAGTCGGATCAGCGCCAGGTCATGGTACACCACCGGGTACCGGTACAGCGGGTGCGTGGTGATCTGACGAGACACGGGGCCGGTAAGGGGGGGGGGGTACGGGAGCTGGACATGAGTCGGCCGCGAAAGAAAGACGTATGCACAGAGAAAATACCGCAATACTCGTAAACGTAAGAGAAACGTGCACACGTGCTGGGAACATAAAGCACATCCTCCAGTCCGAGTCCCAACTCCCAAGTATGCTCATCCCCAATGTTCTGACACTACATATACCGGCCGAGGGGCTGACCGTTCCGCGCACCTTTTCCACGGGGTAGTCGACGGGCTTTGTGGGCGTGCCGTCCTCCGTGGGCGCGAACCCGCCCAGCCGGACCACGTTCACAGGCCGCTCCTCGGTGATACAGTGGGCCGCCGTCAGCATGTAGCGCTCCGAGATGAGAGTGGCCCCACAGAAAAACCCCGGCGCCTGCCGCCGCCGGCGTACCGAGCCGCGGCGCCGGGAGTCGGCCGAGTCTCGGCGGCACACTGAGGACGGAAGCAGTCAGAGCTAAGAAACGGACATCTGGGAACGGCAACGGATATTTGGGAAAGAAAACGGGCAGCTAAGTAAGACAATGGTATCGAGTAAGCTGATAAGCAACGGTATCTGAGCACGGTAACGAGCAGCTAAGAACGAAGACGAATAGCTGAGAACGGCATTAAAGTTCTGAGAACTATGATAGACATAAGAACGATAACGGACAGCTGATAACGAAAACACACAGCTGAGAACGGTGATGGGATTGCTTATTTATGGACGCGTCATGAACTTCTCCCCAATATAATGACCGTTTCCGCCAAGTCACATACATTAGAGGGTTTCTTCATCTACTTGTTCCTGTCCCACAATCCCAGGTAGTGTCCAATGCCCCCATCACCCTGCTAACTACGTCATCGATATAACTGCCCCACCATCAGTCACTGCTCACCAAAGGGCGGTCGGAGCAGGGTGCGCCGGCCCTGTGCCGGCTGGCGGCCGGTCCCGGTGCCCTGACCACCCCTCTCCGGCTGCGGACGCTCCGGCCCGACCGCCTGCTCCGGGAAGACGATAGCGCCGGCTCCCACTGTACGGCGGGTGAGCGGCTGCGGGGGCCGGCGGTCCGCCCCCGGCCGGGGAAAGGTGACAGAACTGACCGCTCCCTCCGACCGTCGGCAGCAGATCCAGCCGCCGCTGCACAGTCCGGAGACGTACAGGGAGCAGGAGCCGGGCGGCCGGCACTGGCCGCCGCCGGCGAACCCGCGCCGGCCGCAGCCCGCGTCCCTCTGGGCTGGGGGAAGGATGGGGGGTCAGCAGTGGGGCAGAACAGCAGGACGGTGGTAAGTGCATTAGCGAGACAATCACTGGTGGAATAGGATCAACACTTCAACTGTCGGGAATGCTTCTTGAAAATCTTACACTGAACATAGGTTGATCGATCATGTAACCGAAGCCCTCCGGTAGCACAAATCGCTTCCCTTCACCGTCCCACCTCCCAAACTTCAGCACTCACCGAAAGTCCGCGCCACCGAACTCGCGAGCACGAGACAGCACAATATCCTCCTCAGTCCGACCGCCATCTCAGCTTCTCTGCCACCAGGTAGTCGCTACTGACCAGTGACCAGACAGTCCCGACAGTCGTTAACAGCTGTCACCAATCCTCACCAGCGGTTTACATAGCCGTGTCACCAGCCATCACACTCTGGCCGCCCCACTCAGTCGCGGCAGCGGCCCAGGCGCCGCAGCTCGCTCCCATTCCAGGGTACACTGAATGCAATGAGACGGTCAAGGCGGCGGCAGCGGCACACGCATTTACATATGCAGTAGAGGTGTTGTGGGCCCCACTAGTCAGCATGAGAGCTGAGGGGCGGAACATGGAAATACCAGACAGAGGTGGGCATCGCTACCGAAATTTGGAAACCGCTACCGCTACCTTCCGCAACCTAAGGTACCCAAAGCGCAATCGCAACTCCGAAACTATTTTGCAGATCGTAAAACCGCAACTCGCAACTCCGCAACTCCGCAACTCCGCTACCAACCTCTATTAGGTTCCTATGTTTTATCAGTTTTAGTCCTGAAGTGCAGTGTTATGTCTGACAGGTAGTACCTTTGGTTGACCTCTGTTGGTGACCTGACTGTTGGTGACCTTTGATGACGTCACGTGACCTATAATGCTCAATGCGCAAGTCATTGCGACACCAGTCGACGTAAATGACATGCCAGTGCTACTCTTTGCATGTTTTAATTGTTTGGGATCATTTTGCCGCAAATCCGGACGAGTCGTATTTTCTCCCATTGACTTATAATGGAGAGGTCACACAGTTGACCTTACCTTAAGTCACAAATATAAAAAAATATGAGACAATACACTTTGTACCTATATCTTGTTACCCTTGTCATATGCAGACAGTTTCAAAGTGATCGGTCAATAGGTGTATCTATATTGCTATATTGCCCTGTATTGCTAGGGGGGTGTTTAATTTTTTCGGAGATTGGGTCCCTTGACTTGACCTGGTGACCTGACCTGAGGTGACCTGGGTCTGACATGTTGATACAATGTGTAGAAAGGATGTGTTAATAGCAGTGTCGAAAACAGCCGCGTTGCCGCCGCCTTTTTTATATATTTGCGGAAAACCTTACGGAGGGGTGTCCAAACACCCCCCCCCCGCCCCCGGCCCCGTGCTGGCGACCATAAAATTTGACTTAACCCTCGCTGTGTGCGGTGTTTTACAGCGTCTAACGTGTACGTCGGTTGGACCCCCTCCCCCCCTGCCGTTCGGCCCCTGATCGAGCTAGAGCTTCGCGGGGAAAAAACGAGCGTGTTGCCCGTGACGAGAGGAAGCCGATGATACCCAATTTTAAGGTCATAGGTCATTGGTTGACCTTCCAGGTCAGGTCAATGACCCAAAAGTCGGGAAAATCGGACCTGCTAGAACTTCGTAAAGTGAAGCTTTTATGCTTTTTTTTTGGGGGGGGGGGGGGCGCTGATAACAAATTTCATGTTGGTTTTGATCAAAGAGGACGTCTTCATGCATTTGGGCCTGGTCGGGTCAGGTCAGGTCAGGTCAACCAGTAGGCGTCCTACCGCCTATCCAGTGTCAACCACCACTGAAAGCCTCGTAACATGTTACTAAGGCACTAAAACTACTTCGTAAATGTTCAAACGGTCATTAAATTCGAAATCAGCTTCAAAAACTAGCCTGGAAACACGTGCAGTGTGCAGTGGAGTGCAAAGAGTACAGTGGGCCCCCACCAGCGGTGGCGGCCCCGGTAGCGGTTGCGCTTTAGAATTTTTCGCTTCCGCAACTCGCAACTTCGCAACTTTTTGGGCTCGGTAGCCGATCCGTAACTCCGCTACCAAGAGGGTAGTCCGCAAGTTGCGGAGTTGCGGAGTTGCGGACTTAAGTTGCGCAATGCCCAGCTCTGATACCAGATCACTATACAGGAAGAGAGGCCTTGAAGGGGCTGTCATTCCTGCATACAAGCACAAACATGCCTCATAAGAGTTGCATGTGAGAAGTAGGTCGCCGAGGGACTTCCTTCCAAAGCGATCATAAAATCAAATACGGAAGTGTTCTCAAGGCAGCAGCGTTTCTGCTATCTACTCACAGCTACATGAGTGCAGTCTGTACATCCATGTTTAATCACAAGTGGGACAACGCCAGACCACGATGGAAGCCGTCCAAACCACGGTCTGAATCAGCGAGCCCCATCGCATGCAGATGAACCACGTCGTACCCACGGGGCCACTCACCAGTACCACCGATCACAATACCAAACAAACACAGTCTACACGATCAGCTCTCAGCACTAATCTCGTAAGCTTCCCCACGCCAAAATCCCTGCCGAATTTGTACAAACACCGCTCACGAATCACTCGTTCTGTATTGGAGTTCAGTTTCTGGTGACACCTGTCCACGCTGATATACAAACGCAGTGAGCATCGTACTGAACAGATGGGGGACGAGCTTGCCTGTCTTCCTGACTAGAAATGGTCCAATGGGCGACTGGGGAGGGGTTCAGAACGGCACAGGTGACAAATGGCACCACGGGTATCGGTGGATAAGCCCACGCACGCTCTCTCAATGACACTGTTCGTTCGGAGTGAGCGGGAATGCAGTCCAGATGTATCCGTTGTGAACAGTATGCTTTTCGACACGACTCATTTCATTGCACAACTGACAGCAGAGCACAGTATTGGGCAGTAATCGCCACGCCATGTGTGGATCGCCCATGATCGTAAATACAAATACATATTGACTATAATGACAGGACCACTCACTTGCCGGTCTATGGAAACCGCCGTACAAAGTAGTGCTCAGTCTCGGCATGTAATAACTTAACGAATCAATTTTTCGATGAACGTCTATTACTCGCATTGACAATAGGACAGGTAAGTACCTATCGGGATTGAATTGTTCCATCGTTTGAAAACAATTACTGCGTTCCAAATGACCGTTGCACGATATTCTCACAGCCGACCACCAACAACTTCTCGCGGTTCAGCAAAACAAGTGCGGTTACACAACTTTCTCAGACATATTCTACTCGTACAAGTCAAATGACTATACGCTCTATAAAACATCTATAAAATCTCTTGCTACGCAATCACACACACGCCGTGGTTGCAGCGGCTAGTTTCACGCATAGTTCTACCACAGCCATATGCTACACCTCTCGAAAACTCCAAATTTTTCAGCCAACAATGCCAGCAACTCTGTGCAGACTAGGAGGGCATCGAGAACAAATGACACAGCACGATGCTGAATAATTATTGCATGAATCCGACTACGGGAGATACCATCCACGTTTATATCCGAAGAGGTGATGAATCGGCAACAGGCACAATTTGCGAGCCTTCATCTCTTTTCTTCAAACAACGCAGCACCAGAGCATCTCTTCCGAAGCACCTCCGTTGAGCAGCACCTCCTGCCGCCCCGCCACCCACTAGCTGAAGAAGTAGGGCGACCGGAGCACCTCTCTGAGGTCAAACCCCCAGCTCCGGGACGGCGGCCAGCACTCTGTTCACCCGGTCCCGGGGGAAGCCCTCCGGGATGGCTCCGGGCCCGGACCCGGATCCGGCGCCGGACTCTGTGTCCGGCGGGATCCCGAACCGGGCCAGCAGTCCCTCGGAGAGCTCCTCGAGCAGCGGTCGGCTGTGGAGAGCTACAAACTGCTCCCGGCACACCTGGGGAGGGGGGGGGGACGGGGGGAAGTCAGCGGGGCTGGTGGGGCGGGGGACGGAATTGTTTGGGGCCATATATTTGTTATGGGCCTTTGGGGCGGGTAAGGTACAACACGGTTGAGAATATTATGATACAAAGCTACCATCTAATTCACCTTACGACTGGACAATATCTGAACCAACTTTCACATAAGGCTATGAGGGACGAGAAAAATACAACACAAAAAGCCTACATTTATCTGCACAACACCACGACGAATGAAAAACGATAACCTTCCCGCGTACTCTACCCCTTCTCTGCGGACCTTGTTCATCTGGTCGACGGTGGAGGCGTGTGTCCAGTAACAGTCATGCACGGACACGAACGTGATGCCCGCGTGCAGACAGTGCAGCGAGGTCAGCATCATGTGGGACGAGTCCAGCGAGTGGATAAAGTTGGGCGGAAACGCGTTACGCTGCTTGATCGCGTTCGGACGCCTGCGAGATGGGAAGAGTGAGGTAGAGTGAGCTCAAGAGGAGAACGATGATGTTTTGTTTGTTCGATAAGTGAGTAAAATAGAGAGACAATGTAAATGTGACTAGATTTAAGTGAATAAAAAGTTGTTGGGAAATCTAATATATTTCCAAAGAGCTTTCTGTTTTACATACGCAGTAAAAGGCCTGTATTGAGGGCAATATTCATTTGGTGTCCAGAGTCTCTACACTACATACAG